CTTGTTTTTTCTATGACTTTTTTTGTTTCCTCAAAGGTCCAAATATTTCCATGTAATACCTTGAAGGTTTACTCAATGGGTTTAAAGAAGACTTGTTTTTTCTATGACCTTATTATTATACAAAGTTTTGTTCCTTCGTACTTCTTTGTTCTTACAAATTTGTTTTTTCTCCTGTAATTGTTTGAAACCGTTTCAAAGTTTTCTTCAGCACTTCTAATGTAAAGCTTTTAAGCATATACATTCTTTAAATTCATCCAAACCTTAAACAAACCTAAAAAAAAAACAAAGTATGTGGGCTTCAAATAAATTCGAATGTATAGTGATTTTTTTTTGGAAATGGAAGAAGAAAATTTTGAATCGTCTCCATGGAAATTTCTTGTTATTGGGCATGAATTTTTGTCCCTTACACAAATAGACTTGACTGGATCGCAACATTTCTGTTACCAGGTCAACACTTCACTCTCAATCTATGAAAAGTTTGGTATTTTGGGTCTGGAAAACCGGGAAAATTCTGAGAATTTTATCAAAAAGACCGGGAAAGTTTGAAAAGAGTGCAATCACACAACCTACCACCAGGCTGCAGGACTGGCTTTGTTATGAGCATGTAATAGTTTCGTAAATGTAAGTTTCAAGCAGGATTTGGAATTTTAGATGATTGAGTGATAGATACTGAAGGGGGAAAGGTTCACATGCTTTTATCAGTTTCGATGAAACTAATTTAAAAAATAGTGCACATACACAAAAATTGTTCATTTTCAGCTCTACGTGTCGAATTGTCGATGTACGAAATCAGGGAATTTTGATCAATATGGTCAGGGAAAATTTGGAAAAGTCAGGGAAATTTTTCTTTCCAAGTCTGTAGACACTCCGTATGAATACACCATTAATACTGAATAAAAATATTTTTGAGACTTGCACAAGAAACTGATCGAAAAAATATTTGGTACTTACTCGCGCGATTTTATATTGCGGACCCGTCTCGCCTGCTCTCCCTCCTGCATCCACAGCGGAACTCCACGCGGGGTCGCGCTGAGGATGCCGAGGGGAAAGCCGACGAAACGCATTCGCAATGTAAATCTATCGCGCAAGTGTGTGCCAGAAATTTTTTCGACCATTAATAAGTTATGTGTAAATATAGTATTAATACTGTATAAATGTCATATCCAAATACGGTATAAATATGATACCTATATACAGTATTTTAAACCCTGGAAAGACTGGAAAAAATACCATATTTTATCATATATTAAATACGAGATAAAATATCTATTTTCAAAGTATAAAATATGTATCGCAATGTAAATTTATCGCGCAAGGGAGTGCCAGAAATTTTTTCGACCATTAATAAGTTATGTGTAAATATTGTATTTATACTGTATAAATGTCATATCCAAATACGGTATAAATATGATACCTAAAAACAGTATTTTAAACCCTGGAAATACTGGAAAAAATACCATATTTTATCATATATTAAATACGAGATAAAATATCTATTTTCAAAGTATAAAATATGTATTTTGATACAGATAAATACCGTATCTTGAAAGAGTATTTTATTCGTATTTTTGCTACTGGGGTAGAAAAGAACGTGGATTTAAAACTCACTGACTGTTGCATTTTGTTCCCGATGCGTGTTTTATAAAGTATATTACATATAGATACGTGTTTTGAGCCTCCGATATAATGATGAACTTCCACTGTTGAGTGATATTTGATAGAATAGGGCGGAAAGGATTTTAAAGGCAGCCACATTGAAGGTTCCTCCTCCATTTGGTTCATTTTCTGCGTAGTGTGTGACGCAGTCAGTGCTATAAAAGCTAGGTTGAGATTGTCACTCACAAACCACGCATCAACCTCTCGAAAAAAGCTCGAAAAAAAAACGGGTTTGGGATCAGGAAGTTACGGCAAATATATTGGATCCGGTAAGAAATCGACTGCATACGTAAATGTGGATTCCGATGTGAATTGGGAGTGCTCGAGTGGAAATAGCACATATCCTGCAATTTTTTAGGGGCCAGTGCTGTTGCCGTTTCTATAGCAACTTTGCGTCTTTACACTTTGACGCAATGAATTAGAGGCTCCTATTTCGTTGGGAAAGTTACGAATAGCACGGTTTCTGGATGGAATCGAACTGGGATCAGCTTGTAAATAAATTTACATTGATGCACTGAAAAGAAAAGTAGCTTGGATCAAGCATGATAATTCTTGAATTTGCCGCCAAGAATTTTCTTCATCTTGCTTTCAGCTTAATTTTTCTTGATTTAAGAAAAATAATGCTTGGGTTAAGCAAAAAAGTAGCTTATATTAACCAGCAAAATTCTTGATTTAAGAAAAATTACTTCTTGGCGGCAAATTTATGATTCTTTTTTTTCCAGTGTGGCGGGGTGTCACCTATATAGACTGTTCAATGATTTGTAAAATTTTAGAATTACAGCAGCGATTGGTAACTGGTCATATCGGAAGGGGCAGAGGAATGTTTCCGTCAAAAGCAGGATTCCGTTGAGGGCATGTCCATTTTCATACAATTGCCATAAAAAATCCGAGGAAAATGCATCTCTATTCAGAGCGATTTTCCGCTGCGGGGTGGGAGGGTTCCGTTATGACTGGGTTTCACTGTATTCGACGCAAACACAAACAGATGAAACAAATAAAGGAAGGGCAAGTAGGAAGCTAAAACTGCCGCTGCTCTGATAGCTTTTGTAAAATAAAGTTAAGAAAGAATTTTTGTTCTATGAAAAAGAGAAGCAAAATCAAAAATCTAAATAAGAATGTGCCCATTGATGTTATAGTACAAATCCAAATCTCCACCTGGACCGCGCCGCTGCAAGGAGTAAACCTATGACAAGCGAGCGAAATTGATTTAAGCTAACCTCTTTGAATGAGAATACAGTGATTTAAATGATATAAAATTAGACCAGTGACTTAATGTTGATTTGATTATCATTGCTTTGTTCAAAACATGAGCTGCAACACATGCAACACTGCTTTGTTGTGCTCTGGCATTGTACACATAGGGTATTGCATTCACTCATTTTAACAATATCAATGACAAACATGACTTACCAGGCATACGTTGATAGGAAAACATCAACATTACCCAACCATGCTGCGACATAAACGGACGCTCTTAACACCTTGGCGACGAAGGGGGAAGCTTGAACTTTTGAGGATTCAAATTTCTGCATGGGCTTTTATTTGTCAGCGACTGCGAAAGTCATCACTGTACTCTGCCGTGTGATCAGGAGAGTCGAAACGTTCGAAATCCAGTTTCCTTCGTAATTTGTGTAATCCATTTCAGATGAGTCCACTATTCTAGCTAAAATGGCAAAATGCGGCGTGTACATGAAAAATCGACACCCACGAGGAAGCCGTAAGTGCTTATTGCAAAACTTGACGGAATAGCGATAAGGGGTGTATTTCGCCAGTAAGCTGTGCTCGTTGAGTAAATTGGTGCTCTTTTCTGCAAATTTAGAGCCTCAAATTTGTTTTTGTCCAAAATAAAACATATACAAGAAATCATGCAGAAGGAGGCACGGACGGCTCTCTTGTGTAAAATGAGAGTAGAAGAGGCCCGTATGCTGTATTTGAGAATATAATTCGTCAATTTTTAATCATCCAAACGATTTCTAAGAGTCTTTTGGACGATTAAGGGTGGTTTTAGGGCCGCCATATTTTGTGTCAGAACGACATGCAATATATCGCATCGGCTGGTTCCATTTTTTCAGCTACTCGTCATTTTTCTCAACTTTTCAGATCGCAATTCTGTTGTCAGGAGACTAAAGAATCCACTTACCAATTTTGACAAACGAATTCAACGTAATAAAGGTGTGGTTTTTTCAGAGGAAAAATACCGTATTCAAGTGCCGTTTCGATATCAGTATCGAATGCGATAATTTTCCTCTAAAAAAACCACGCCTTTGACACAAACAATCTCCCAAGCATATACTACTCTAAGAATTAACGTTCAGGGAAAGACGCAAAATGTCGTGGGTGGCTAGAAGATTGACTGACAGCACAGTGCAAAGTTGCAATCTTCCAGGCATATACTACTCTAAGAATAAGAATTAACGTGCAGGGAATTTCATACTTTCCAGGCTTTAAAAAACACGAGTAGTATGAGGGAAAAAATTCCGGACCTTTTTGCGGAATTTCCACACTTTTACAGTGCTTCTGAACCGCCCTTAAAAATCTTTACACTTTCCGGACTATTAGACACCCTGTCCAAGCGAAGACTATAATGCGAAATAGAAGCCCATCAAGCGCAAGAGGACGCTTATAGATAAACCGAATAGGTGGCTGCGTCATTCGATTAAATATCGAACTCATGATTCAAATGTGCAAATTCTTCTTGAGTCAATTGTGTTAATTGAATAAAATTTAGTCATTGACCGGTCATAATCATAAATTAATTAAAGACTCATTAAATACGAGAACTTCCAATTTTAAGAAACACTCGGACGCATTTTACCACCACACTGGAAAAAAAAAAAAACATATTGGATCTAGAGTCCAGACTCTTGAAAACATTGACAAGAAAAAATACTCTTGATTCAATCGGAATTTTGCTTGAATCAAAACGAAATCCGCTTGAATTAAGAGGCTTGGTTCTTGATTTAAGCTAGATTCTGATTGAATCAAGAGTACTTTTTCTTGTCGATGTTTTTAAGAGTCTGGACTCTAGATCCAATGTGCTTATTTTTCCAGTGCATGGTGCAAAGGGCGCAAATCAGAAACAAGATTCTGGGTTTGTTTACAATTGAACCAAGGGTTCAATATTATACCGAATGACACGGCTACTGAACCAGTCTATCGCCCACGAAATTGTTACGTACACATAGCGTTAAATTGGAGATGAATGTTGGATTGTATCTTCGATGTCAAACTATACTTTGACCTTCCGAATTGTCAGACGCGCGGAAATTCCCGTAAAGTGCAAGACTCGAGGGGCTGGAACGGTGAAAGAGCCCAGGGAGCCGTTGCATAAGCGGAGTTCTTTCTTGGTAGATTACACAGGCAAAGGTTCGAGGTTTGTAAATCCAATTACGCCGGATGCACCTGGCAACCCTGAGTTTGACATGGGGCTCAATAAGCTCAGTATTGCTCTTCGCTTCGAAAAATCATAGCGTGCCGCCAGACGAGAGTACGTGATCATACAGGAAATTAAATTTTAACGAAGACTAACGATTCTCTTCTCGATATCTTTTCCTTTTTTACACAGGTGTTTGGTGATTGTTATTCATAAAAAATAAAAGAAACGTAACTTTCATAAATCGTTCATGTGTAAATACGATGTGTCCATTAAAAGTGATATTTGAAAACCACGTGACTGTAATTATATTTTCACAATTTCATGAACCCATCAACTGAACTGAAAAAACTGCGCTCTCTCACTCACAGTGTACTTTTAACAACTTACTGGTGAGAGTTTTGTTGAGCAGAATCATCAGCAGTTCTAATTATCTTCGAAGCAGAGTATACCTTCACTTGCTGTAAGTATTCATATAAATACTAAATCCTGAAATTTTAGTATACACAGGGAAAAAGAGTCACCCGGATCCCGAGGCCAGACTCTTAAAAAATTGATAAGAAAAGATGCCCTCGATTCAATAGGTCAGTCGCGCGCGAGAGATACAGCAGAATAAACTTACTCTCAACTTTAAAATCGCACGAAAATCATGTTGGGCACCAAAAAAATTTGGAATCCACTCCCTAAAGTGCGCAATCTGTGCATGGTCTACTTTTTTAAGTTTCCCGCGTCGGCGGGCAGTCCTCGGTTACTGTCGACCAGGTTTGCACAAGCAGGGGAATGAGAAACTGATCTAGGTAAACAAACGCTTACACTAACTTTTTCTATCGAAAGATGTCAATTGTTTTAAAGCGTTTGTTTCCTTTTTTTTCTTTGTTAATTTTGCAAAAACAAAAGATTTAAATCAATTGGAATCTTACGCAAAAGGAGTTTATAATAGTTTGTGAGATTGTCTGTTTATTTATAGGTTAGGTCTCTCTCTGGAGAAACCTGACTGCCGGCCACCAAGAAAAACTGCCCGCATACACGCTAAATGTGAAGAAGCACACGCACAAACTACGTAGATTGCGCGATGAGGGGTGGATTTCAGAATTTTTGATGTACCAACGCGATTTTTGAGCGATTTTTCTGCTAGAAAGTCTGTTTAGTTGGTTGTATCTCTTGCGTGCAACAGACCCATTCGATTTTTGCTTGTATCAAAAGGAAATCCGCTACATTTAAGAGACTTTGCTCTCGATTCAAGCAAAACTCCGATCAAATCAAGGGTACTTTTTCGTGTCGAAGTTTTCAAGAGTCTGACTGTAGTTTCAAAAGACTTTTATTTCCAGTGTGAAATACCATACATAAATTTAAATTAGCAATGGTGCACCTCTAATTGAGTTATAATGGCAATTCATGCAATTTTATCAGTACGAACGAACCATTTGTGAAACAAAAACTTGCGAAGTGACTTTTAAAAGTTTAAAAATGGTTAGCCAAAGACGCACATTTTATTTCGTATTTTAATATAATATTCAGACTCACCCCATCTTCAAAGCATTACATTTGGTGGTTATGATTCAAATATAAAGCTACAATTTTTAAATTACATTTTTGAGAAAACTGTTGATTTATGAAAGTCAGTAAACACATCAGTAAGGAAATGAAATATACATCTTTGGCGAACCATTTCTGTATTTTTAATCATGATAAATATATGCAACATACGAATTAATATATACATACATAAAGTCGCTTCTATAGCGCCGCGTCGCGCTCTGCGACGCGGCGCGAATATATTTATACGAATTAATATATTTCCACGAAAAACTAAGATTTGTTAGCTAGGATGCAGGTGTATTTTTATAATTGGTCAATGCGTATCGAAGCATATCATCCATCATTGTGACACATTAACGTAAGCTGTCCCAAAAGTACTGCCTATTTTTCTGGAGGGGAAAAAAAGTTAGGCAAACAGATCCTCAAGATCCTAGATAAGATAGAAAAGCAGTTTTATTTTGCACTCCAATAAAAATAGACATGCTTATTAGGCCATGTATCTTAATTTTCATTTTTAGTAACTAGGATACCCGAAGATAGGGACTTCGTGTGTAAGTCAGAAAGTTCGGGTTCGGTTTCTGCCAAACAGGTTGTTCGAATTGCTACTTTGGGGCCGAATTTTGTTGGTCCTTCCGCCGTACTTAAATATACTTAGGACGAGTCTCGACTTAACTTGAGTCCGGCTTGGCGCTTCTGATTGGCCGGTGGTGCGGTTTGGACTCGTGGAAAGATGCGTTTGATTATACGGGTTAGCTGACAAGCGAAGGGGGAAAAATTAGAGTACATATAAAAGGAGAGTACGGACATGTCGGTAATTTTGAGGTTGGGCCATAAAGCTTTTGGGGCTCTGAAGGGCAGCCAACCTGTGAAATCAAATCATCCAGAATTATTTATTAGTACATTCCTACGACCTGTCGTTTGTAAATCACCCATTTGAGTATAGGATTTTGCACGAATTCACTCATTTTCGGGGAAGGACGGCAGGACGCTCACGCATGTACAGTCTTGGCAATCTTGGTTTGATATTGGAGTCTGAAGACAGGCAGTGGCATTTTTCATGTTAGAAGGTTGGCTGCCCTGTTGGACCCCATACTACTACGCTCCATACTACTACGTGTCTGTGCTCACCCTGTATAGGTCCTCTAGGAAAAATAAAACATAGGAATTAAACAAAACAACTAAAATAAAAGCGTAAAACATATTTTTGTTTTATTTCAACAGGTCACCTCAACCTTGCCGACTTCACCTCTCAGCAGAATGCACTTGACGAGAGCATCACTTCTGGCGCTGCCCGCTGTTCCTACAATCGTCACCCTGTTCATCGTTGCCTCGACCGATGCTCTCCTGTTCGATAACAACATGCAGCTTGCAGGCATTACATTCAACCGTGCGCAGTATCGTGTATCACCCGTCAACGTCCAATTGGGCGACATGCTCCATGGGGTCTGGGAAAACGCTCTCGAGGCCATCCAAAATCCGAACCGATTGGGCCAAAATATCAAACGTCGGATCGCACGACCCCGCCGTGAGGTGGCACAGCCCCGCCGCAGAAGGGCGAAACAGCGAGCTCCAAGGAAGAGGAAGCAGCCGAAGAAGAGGCCGGTGGGGACCGCTCGGGTGATGGCGGAACGGATCGTGGGGCTCGTGAACGGGGAACGCCGGAAGCGCGGTTTGAAACCTCTGCGCGAGAACCTCCGACTCTCGAAAGTTGCCGAGGCCAAGTCGAAAGACATGCGCGACAACAAGTACTTCAAGCATGTCTCGCCGCGGTTCGGGACTTTCGGGAACATGGTGCGGAAGGCCGGGATCAAGTTCTCCCTCGTCGGTGAGAATATCGCCATGGGGATCGCCACTCCGACGGCCGTCATGAAAGCGTGGATGAACAGCCCCGGACACCGGAGGAATATCCTCAGCCCCAGGGTCGATCAAATTGGAGTTGGATATGCCAGCGGCGGCTCGGGTCCTTACTGGACGCAGGAATTCATCAAACAGTGAAATTTGAACATCTCGAGGGTCAAATCTGCTCTGCAGCCTGGTTGTTAAAATTCATCACTAGCAAAAAAATCCGCTTGGATCTAGAGTCCAGACTCTTGAAGACAGTGATAAGATAAAATACTCTTAATTCAATCGGATTTTTACTTGAATCAAAAGGAAATCCGTTTAATTTAAGAGGCTGGGTACTTGATTTGAGCAAAAATCCGATTGAATCAAGAGTATTTTTTCTTGTCATTGTTTTTAAGAGTCTGGACTCTAGATCCATGCGGTTTTTTTTCCAGTGTATGTTTGTCGACCGGGTAAGACAAGATTGAGGAAAATTCTGCCGTGCTAAGGAGGAACGCCGTATGAGCCTTCAGACGTTGCCAAATTTCCTTCGATAAAAAACGAATTTACAGAGAAAATTGAGAATATTTTTTCCGAAAATTTTCTAATAATTTCGTGCGCAATTTGATCTAAAATATCTGAACGTTTCAAAGAAAAATGTAGATGATTGTCGTCAAGAATACATGTTTTATCAAGGGAAATTCGGTAACTCTCGAATGTTCATACGCCGTTCTTCCTTCGCACGGCGGCACAGAGTTATGTGATTGTTGAGATTTAGGCTTCGTCCTCGGTTTTGTGCCGATAAAGGATGGAGTTATCCAGGATCTCATGGAAGAAAAGTATAGGCGTCTGGATGTGACGACTATCTAGTTTTTTTTTCGGTGTTGACAACTAATTGTACACTATTCTGATAAATATTCTGTACTAATTCTCAGATACGGAATCTACTTGTGTCTTATTCGTATATAAGGAACAATAAAGAGGTCAGATTTTTAAGACGTGTTTTTCTGTGAAATAAAACCTCCTAAAATCTTATAGGGATTCTTGTATAAGGTTAATAACTAAATGTATTGGGGTACTACCACAAAATAATTGGGAACATCCATATCATTCATCAACCCCGTGCTCGTTTTCCCCCTGTGGATCAATTTCATTGCCTTAAGAATCTTTTTCGCGCTGTGCTTCTTTATATGACACCGAAGTTTCGTTATTTAGCAAAAAGGGACCAGCGCGGATATAGTGTGCTCAAAATCGTGCAATTTTTTCTTTTCCTTTAAAAATACTTAATATATGTACGGTATTGAAATTTACACAATTATTTTCCTTTATAAACAATTTTTCAGCGGGAAGTGACAACTATTTGCTAGTCTGGGAGATTTTAAAGATCATAATGAAGAAGCAACATTTTTACAACACTGTAATCGCGCTGGTTCCTTGTGGCTAAATGTGATCCATATTTCCCCTGAGCCGACGATAATTCGAATCTGAATGATAATTTCTGTTTCCAGAAACTCGGATGCGAAAATTGTCATAAAACGTTTCTATGAACCTGAACGAAATTCTTTTTCGGAGAGTTGGTCATGCGGTAAAATACTGAACAGAGAGGTGACGGTTTTGTTATTATGCCTCTTGATTCCAGGAAGTTGCCTTTAACTCAGTAAAAAAAACTAATGCTTCATCACCTCCAGAGCTATGAAAATGGAGCGAACACGTATTCTTCTTCAGAGAAAATCTGAGTTACAACGGTGGTAATTTTAACTCACCCTCAGGAAAAACTCTCATCATGCACCCGAATTCCTAGACTTTGTGATAGCAGCGAATCGGTGACAGTCAAATTTGATGCAGGTGGATACAACCACTTGCTTAGTTGATCATTTTACACGGAAACTTTGCTTACCTGAAACAAATGAAAAAATCAAGAGAAACATTAAAATAAATACTTGAGTAATTTAGGGGTCAGAATTTGTGAAATCGTAAATTATAGATTACCTTGGAGTACCTATATAGCGAGAGTATGGACAGATCGCTCCATGGAGGGCTTAGGGCCCAAAAGTGCAGCCACCCTTCAAACCAACTTCTAACGCCCGAAATTTCACTGCAAGTCTGCAGATTCCATTGCAACCAAAATGGCTGAGAATGTGCATAAATGAGCGTTCTTCCGCAAAAATGAGTGAATTTATGCAAAAACTAAGTCGGATACGTGCTTTATAAACGATAGTTCGTAACAATTGTATTAGTAAATCGCCCCGGATAGTTGAAATTCATATGTTGGCTGCATTTCTGGGGCCTAACTTTATTCGCGGAGGCATCGGTGAAGGCCTGATGGATTTTCGGAGTTTCACATCTGTCTATATTCGCGCTGTATAGGTACTCTAGATTACCTTTCAAGATTATTTAAAAAATGTCAATAAAATCAATTGAATCCCCTCAGTCCAACTTAGGTCATGACCTTTCCTCAAGTCTACATTTACAAATTTGAGGTGACCACGATACTTGCTGGGTGCTTTCAAGGGTGCAGAAAGGTCCTTCAAAGCAAAAACTAGTGATTCTCTCAGTCTTAAAATTTTAACCCTCGCACGGAGAAACATTACAGGAATGCGTGGAGCAAAAACATTTGCAAATCAGAGCCCTTTTGCTTTTTTCTATCATTTTTTGCTCATAAAACAAACAAAAAATTTCCACGGAAAATTTTTACGTCAGCTAGCTCACGCATGGCTATAGGCAGGAATACGTATTTGACTATGAGAGTGCGACAGTTTTGTGATAACAGTCGTTGAGTTCGTCAAAGGACTACCAGACACGTTAGATATTAAACATCACAATATACATATGAGTAATCTGTAATATTTCACGTAGAATACATCGTGGACACTTTTGTTCCCTCATTTATCTCATGATGAAGGAAGAGCTTTAGTGAGGTTTGCCAATTTAAATTTTGTTTTTGCCCAAACACCGAGGTAAATACTCCGGTCAAATCTAATGCGAATATATAGTGTTTTCATTTTGCAACTGGGAACTACAATTTTTGGCTCATTTCAGAGACAAGAGACGTGTTATATATATATAGTTCTCCTAAGGAAATACATACTTTTGAGAGGGGAACAACACGTTATTTTTGGTCCAAAAATGGAAAAATTGCATACGTACGCCAAATGCTGTTCAAAATTTGATATGCCACTGAGAAAAATAGTTTTGTTCATAGGGCTCCTGCACTTTCTTTGTTACAGCTACGAGTGTTTTCGTATCAAAGACAGAGCGCTCTCGACCGAAGTCCTGTTCTCACAACAAAAAAGTTCTGTAAGTGTAACAAAGAAAGTGCACGAACCCTGTGAGCAGAAGGTTCTGTCATCAGCACCGACTACTTTTTAACGTGTTGACTCTAAGAAAATTCACTATGACGACATTAAAACACCCAGTTCTCTTGCTTAGCCAAAGTTGACTGATAATTATGACGAATTTTGGATTGTGCGCTGCTTCCATAAAATGATGAGTATTAGAGGTTTGTCCCATCTTCTTCCCGAAAATATACGTGTCATGGGGTAATCAGTAATTGTTCGGGACCGTGACTCAAGTTAGATTTTCTATGTAATGCAATCCTAGATTTGTGAGGGAGCCTTTGACTCATCTTGTTTTCCAGATTTACTATCTACAGGGTGTTCATCGCGTATTAGTAATCGACGGGACACGCGTGCAGAACCTACAAATAGGATCTATGGATTTTTCTCTCGGTTATCAAAAATTTAAAATAATATACAGTCAGAGGTTTTAACGCAAGTTCTCACTTCCGGATTGGTATCAGACACTTCATGGCTGAAAAACTGCATCGCAGGCATGAGTCACGCATTCATTTGTATTGATGAAATTATATCGTAGATTTATTTTGAATGGCTCCAAAGGGAACTGAGTTTACTTCTACGTTCGCGAATTTCGAGGGTTTCTCGCAGCTTTTCCGGCAAGACAAGGGTATTTTCGACGCAAGATTTTTGAATAAGGACGCTCATTTCTATTCATCTTTTACCATAAATGAAAAAAACAGAGGACGTATGGAGTTCGTTAAAATTTTGGAACCATTTTCGATTGGAGACTTTCAAAACTCGAGGTAAAAGTAATTCAGGGAAAGCCACTAAGATTTTAGAATAAAAGACGTGCCCGATAATAATAACTATGCCTCAGAAAAAAAACGAGAAAAAACAGCCCCCACTCAGTCTTGTGCTGGTACTCATTAGAGTTCAAAAATGTTGGACCCTAATTGAAATTATTGGAACTTTTCGGCTTTGTTTTCCCCGCAAAATTGTGTGGGGTGTGGACCCAGCAACATTTCACCACCTCGTCTCAAAAAACATTGATGTTAAAGAGATCGGGAATTTTGAAGATCCTGATTTTTCGTTTCCTCAATGCTTGAAGTATAGTAAGTTCATCAATAAGAACTCGATTTTGACACCACTTAATTGAAATTATCATATTCTAAAGACATATTAATTTCTATTTTCATTTCACATACATATAAACACCTACATGTACGATAGAATATAGATTGACTGAAAAAAGATTTCCACGAGGTATAATTTTCAATGCACCATGAAATCGACCTGAGCTATTACAATCAAATAGCGCGGACATTAAATCTTCCGTGAACTAGAATTGTGGTCAGATTCAGGATTATTGGGGTAAAATACACGTCTGTGGTACGGGGCACCCTTTTTACTCGTATGCATCTCTCAGGGGACAAGGTTCAGTGATGAGCTCCCTTGGTGGAAGAGAGGGAGTTTTAGGGGCCTCCACCGAAATATTTGAAATTCTGACTCTTCATAGAAATTGAAGCATTCTTTTGACCTCGCCATTTCAGGCATTTTATTTTATTTTAACCTTTAAATTTTTTTTTTCTAATTTCTTTTAATTTTGCATGTTTTTCATTTCTATTTATTTATTTTTTTTTGCATGTTTTTTTTTACAAGTAATGAGAATGATTATATAGGTAAGAGGGCTACAATGAGAAAAAAGGGATACACTATAATTTAAAGAAAACAATTGAAAAGTTCATGTTAAAGACGGAGACAGAGGAAAAACATTCTGACGCGGGCCGATAGGCGCGCGCTCGGTGGGCCAATATGGTAAATAAGGCCCTGAGCATAACAATAATTCTCTTTGATGTCTGGAGGCGCCTTCCCCTCAAATAAAAACTATGACGTTGAGAAGATAGTACGTAGCACCATTGTGCTATGATTCAATTGCGTAAAACTCGTCGATCAATTGGGAGTCCCTGCGTAACCCGTGACGCGGTTTGCAGCGGGGAAGTGCGATATCAACTCCAAACTCATGCGAGGATGCGGTACACACCACGCAAAACAAGAATTGCAACATTTCGCGCGAAAATAAGAGCGTCTCATGCGAAATTCGTTTCAGGGCTGGTGCAAAAAGGCAGCCTCGCTCACAATCTCGTCCCGTTGACTTGAATCATGCTTCATGTGTGGGTTCATTCAACTGCACCAATGAATGTGCGTTACTCCTCTGACGCGGTGTTGTCTCTTCGAGAGATATTAATCAAAGATATATTTCTGCAATTTCTATTCTCATTTTCGTATGCGTCGTCGGGCTACGAGGGAGAAAGCAACATGTTCCACAAAAATGGGGGGAAAAATGAAAGAAAAAAAGAAAATATTTTAAAAAAATGAAAAAAAGAAATTTTTAAAAAATGAAAAAAAGAAATTTTAAAAAAATGAAAAAATTTTGTTTAAAAAATGAAAAAATTTTGTTTAAAAAAATGAAAAAATTTTGTTTAAAAAAATGAAAAAATTTTGTTTAAAAAAATGAAAAAAATTTGTTTAAAAAATGAAAAAATTTTGTTTAAAAAAATGAAAAAACAAACAACAACAGAAGAGGTCCAGCAATAGTCTGTTTTCTATGTTAGCGCGTTTTTTAAGTTACCAGAAGAAGATGGACAACGTTGAGATGAAAGAACTCGTCAACCAAAATTTCAACCATCATTTTTAGAAAACTAAACCACCACTAAAAAATGATAAAAAAACGATTATTACTTTACATATTTGACATCAGCAGCTTTAAATAAAGGTATCACAGATTAATGTATTCGAAATATGTTTGGCCCCTCTCCGTCATAATAATCGTTGAGGTGGTGCACGCTATTTGAACGCATTGAAACCATCGTCGTTCAACGAGATCATCATCTCGTTCATCATCGTTGAACGAGATGAGGGAGTGTCAACTCCCTGATGACCTGTGGGAAGACCGAGCTTTGTGGCGATTAGGCGTCGTAAAGCGCCAAAGAGCGCTATAAAAGCGACTCATATGTATGTATGAAACCATCATACTAGATTTCTAGATGCTTGAAATAAAACAGGGCTCTTTATCGGCTGAGCGCTTATAAAGGATTTTCAAATTTTCAAAAAAAAAAAAAAAAAAAAAAAAAAAAAAAACCAGAAGACCTAATGCATGTATGAATTTTCATGGTTTTCCCTTTGTGTGTGCGTTATGTGATGTGTGCGTGTGTCGAGCGATGAGAGATTTTTGGTGTTAGAGTACACCTTTCCACCTTTTCAAATGCACTGCATTTCAAAATTAAGCTTTTTGCCTCACTACATATACATGTTTTGTCTTGTTTTTTTGAATGTTCAGTGGGATAGTTAACAGCCGTTGTTATGCGACCTTTTTCCTGCTGCTTCTCCTTAGTGCAGCAGAATCTAATTTACATTCCTATTTTACAATCGTTTAACAACTGTACAAATGATCGGAATTTTAACCTTCCGCGCCAACGTGGAAAGATTCCTCCAGTCCTACGTGAAACAAGCTGTTCGCTCGTCTGAGGAAGCAAGCTCGCTTACAATCAATGTCATCCCGCTGGCTTCAATTATAATGAGGATGCATCATTAATCCAATCCAACTATTTTTCTTTTTTCATTGACAGGACGTTGCCTGCAATATACTAAATATTAAATATTAATGTTAAATATTATTAAAGACGTAATAACATGATAATTTAATGTATCTTAATATCCAACTCATATTGAGGAAACTAATTTTCACCGTTATTACTGATTACAACCGGAGGAAGTGTAACTCAAATGCAACTTTTCAAACTGTTGACATTTCCGTTTTTCATTTTCAGGGAACTCCATGGTACATTTTGTTGCAAAAAATCAAGGAGAAAAACAAAGAAATGAACAAAAAAGGGCCGACAAATTTGAAAACATATGCTGGATACTATATTAAGAAAAGTTAAATATTAATAGACACGAAAACATTATACAATGGAAACACTAATTTTGTTCCCGATGGTATGGATGCAAATTGGTGCAGTTTAAGTTGAAATACAAAGCAGCCGTCGGAGCATGACATAAAGCAGCGAAGTCAAAAAAAAGATTTCGAAATTGCTGGAGGACTTAGGTTTTCATAATTACATGTACAGACTGTACAAGGGGGGGTCCCCCTCTCCTCGATGCGTTTTGCGCTGCGCTTGGAAATTTATAGTATAGAATATGATCAAAAGTCGAACTAAATTAGAATCACAAGAATGCGACTTAAGGAAATACGAGAGGTTCTGTATTAAGAACGTATAGGGTGAATTGGACCGCGTTTAACAGAAAGGAAGCAAATCACATAGTAATTTAACTGGGCAAATTAATTTTTTACGAGAGAGCGTTTAAGAGGATTCCTTTGAAAAATTTAAGGATTTTGCTTCGCACTAGATAGAAACTTCACTGGAATTCACACGAAAATCCGCACAACCGTTTTCATGTAGACAATTAAATTGCCCAAGTAAATTTGGCAATAGCTGATGTGGTTTGGCTCCTTTCTGTTTAACGCGGTCCACTTTTTAGACGACAAATCTCTTGCTTCGGTGATTCTTCTTGTTTCTGTTTTATCAGTATTTTCAGTTTCCATCCTGAAAGATTGGCAGCATCGCGAGCGGAATACACAAATCAAGGGAGAATCGAGAGTGATCCTGCCGCCGAATGGAACGCGCTCGAGTGATGAAGCGCGATTATTAAAGCGCGAGGCGCCGCGCTGCGTGTCGCCAATTTTAGCACTTCCGATTTGGACTTAAGTGTGGAACTGGACGACGACGTCTCGCTAAAAAGACAACCTTTTCAGTAGATGAGTGCGACCGAAAAGTAATTGAATTCGGATCACAGAGAGTTCTCACACTCTACTTTTTATTCGAAAAAGTAAAAATATGTAATCCTGTTGCCAAGATGATCAAATATCCATCTACTTCTACCGAATGGCTTCTTCGGAATATACATCTACTTCTTGCAACTTTTTATACTAAGTTTTTGAGCGTTTTCTGGGAAATAATATTTTTTTGGCAGTAACACGTGTACCTTTCAATAAACACGAATTTAAATAATTGTGAGAAAGGACTTGTCCCACTAAGAGCCATTTTAGGCCCTTACTCGAAAAAAGAACTGAAAAAGTTCAGAATAATGTCATGCTCTTGCATACTCGTACCTGTATCGACTCCAAGTACACTGAATTTCCATTAAAAAATTCCACTTTCTTTAAAAAAAAATTTCGATTATTCGGAAAATTATTACGGAGAAACACTTTATTAAAAATTTACTCTAAAGGATAATACTTCATTAAAAAAATTATTCAAACATTCTTGATTCGGCAGTACCGTAATACGCAAAATGATCAATATGGGTGTAGAATTAAGGTACCAAAAAAATGTTGGTACCACGATTTAGCCCATGTTAATCATGTATGTAATAATCTTTACACACATTTACCCATCTGTCACTTCTGCAATTCATCACCTCTAACCATCAGCCACATACTTATGGACTGCTCTTCCCTCCGATATCTCCAATCACAGATCTACTCCCCTACAATCAACAGAAATACAAACCCTCTTACATGCGATGAACCTAATATTACCGCCAAAATTCTTAAACTCTTCACCTCTCTTAATTTAAAAATCTAAATTTTCGTTTATACTCCTACTTTCAAAATTATCTGTAAAGACGTTAATAGCCTGAGTCGCTGAATGTCTTAAAATTGTAATAACTAACTAACTTCAGTATACCCGCATGATGGTTCAGTGTAAAACATGAACGTCTCCTCATAGTGAGGGTGATTTCTTCAGGTTATCCCCAAAAAACCGGTTTTAAATCAAAATTACATGATCATTTGTATCGAGAGTCCCTAAAATTTACCTTGGAATGCTTGGTCGAGGTTCCCAGACCACGAGGCGGAGAACAATAGTCACCAATAATGAGTCACTTGCTCGGCGCGAAAGAAAAAAACGCGGAATATCACGCGCGAAATCACCTATCAAAATTTGACCGGCGGGAGAGACCCCGGAATTTACTCGATCGGCGATAATAGCGTTTTTCAAATATTTTCTGGCGAGCTATTGACAAACAGTGGCTGGAACCGGAGTGCGAGTGAACCAAATCAGGTACGATATGACTCGCACGGCCCTCGATAGTCCACATCCTCTTCAATTTACTGATGAGCGCATTTCCCCAACTCCCACGCGGTTCATTTGCGTCTGATCGTCCACGCGGTATGATCCTTGCTCCAATTTTCACTCGCGATCTGCTTCTTCCATCGCAGGTTTCGATGAATACAGTGAAGTGATAAGTGATTCCTGACAGGGTGCATTGGATTATTGGCAATTATCCTGAGAAAAAATTTAAACGGTGATCTACGAAAACCAAAGGTAAGTCATACTTTAATCAGTTGTTTTCGTGCACGAGAGATATGGTCCGCGTGAAGCAAACGGAACCCAAGACACGCCGGATACTTCTGAATTTAATTGGGCAATTTAAGTTTTTGGGTGAAAACGGCCGTGCGATTTTTTCTGCAAATTTCAGTGAGTTACCTGCATAAAACGAAGCAAATTCATTGAAATTTCAAACGTTCTCTTGTAAAAAATTAAATTTGCCCCTTTCACTTTGATCATAGCTTGTGTGGCTTGGTACCCTTCTGCTGAAAGCGGTCAATTTTGTGCTTAATCAGAAGAAGCAGTGTATAAGACCATTCAAAGATTACGTTTTTGGTTTTAAAACATACGATTTTACGGACAAATATGGCTGCAGTTTCTGTCCAAAATTTGGTTGCTACGTGAGAAAACAGATGGAGAAATCAATGAAAATATCAATTTGAACTGTCCAATAATTTCCAATTAAAAGAACAATTTGCGAGTGGATTTTCTGCTGTTTAGGGAGGCAGTTACAGGTATAATTTTTATTGTGGGAAACGACATTTCAAAGGTCTCGTTTTTTCTGCGGGCCATACTTACTCTGGAAAGTTAGAAACATAAAATGAAGAAAAAAAGACAAAAATTTAACGGGTTATAATAAGGTAGTGATCCTGATATTTGTCTCGAACACAACAGGATTCTCTCGAAAGTATAGAGAGGCAGGATCTCGAATTTCGACCGTAACCTCGTTCGTTCATCTCACGATCGTAGTTCAACAGTACTCAATATTAACTGATTTGATAACATGAAAAAATAAGAAAGTTATAGTCTTCGCGTCACTTTGCATAACCTTGAAATTTTAAAGGATAAACTTTTGAGAGAAATTTTAGAGGATAAGTCGCGTCTTTAATTCAATTTTTAAGGTACACGACTTGAAGACTTAGAATTTTTTGACATTTCCCTTCGGCTCATTCGTTGAAACAACTCAGTAAAGCAGAACTGAAGGGACAAGGTATGACCTACTTCGGATAGGATTTGTAAGTTTAGAAAAGGGGAGGGGTGAGAAAAAAAGAACTGAGAGAAATTTTACGGACCACCTCGCGGAAAGATGAATTTTGGTGGATATCATGGATCCAAATAAGATAAAGCTAGGAGACGGTAATACATTGTGACATTATTTCTTTTCTTTGATAATTAGTATTTTAAAGATTGTTACTTTTTTTAAAATTTAATAGGCTCTTATTAATGGCTATCCTCTGAAATACTAGCCTCCTACTTCCAGGGAAAAAAAGTGCACACCAGTTCAAAGAAAGAAAGAATTGCAAAACCTTGTCATGACAGAACATTGCAACGCATTGAAAACATAGAAGCAATCACTACTTTATTTACACCTTATCACCTTCGTTTTACAATAATAATCTCCAAATATCTTTAAATCTGTTATACAGGAACATATTGGACAGGATTTATAACCTATTTCCGGATTTAACACACAACTATATTGCGACTTTTTCGCCGAAAACGGACCCAAAGAGCTAATCAGGTATTTTTCTTTCAGTTATTTTTCATCCCTAATAGTTATTTAGTGAATTTAAGAATTCAAAATGAGACTACTGTATAATCATTTGTGTGTCAAAAAATTTCGGGAAGAAAAAAAGAACAAAAACGAATCTTATAATTAACAACATTCGGGGTTTTGTCGGAAACAAATGGAAAGATGGAATGAAAAGGGGGGGGGGCAAGGATTTGAACAACACAAAGAGACATTAACATTCTAAGAAACTGCGTGTTAAAAATGAAGGTCATTTTCGGAAATGTTTTGTCACATCGAAGTCTTTTGTGATACTTCCGTTCTAAGATTAATAACCTTCAAAATTGCAAGATTCTGGCGCGCAACCACGCACCGAAAGAGTATTTTCAAATTAAAGAATATTGGCGAAAAATGTTCCACCATAATGCTCTGCTTTACTCAGCGTTAATTTTACTGGCAACGGACGCTTTAACAATTCTTTTGATTTCGTCTCCGTAATAGACATTTACCTACTTGTCAACACTCGATACTCACGGGTCAACTCAGGCGACGAAAATACCTAAGAGTGTTCTTCAACTTGAAGAGACCACTCTATAAGAGTTAGAATTTGAGCATCACAAGTTTTGTTTTCTCATAGAGACTTAATAAAAAATACGAATAAAACATTGAAAATTTCCAAAGTTGACGCGATTACAATTGAGTCGGGACGTGCGAAAACCGCTTATATCAATTTTTCCAGTTTTCAGTTTTTTGGAGTTGATAATACTTTTAAATAGTTTATACAACCATAAACGTGATGAAAGGACTCGTTTTGGAATTAGGGTAACCCGGAGACAAGTTAACGCCACTATCGGGGTTCTATCTGGCTCCGCAAAGTACCATCAACTCAAAAGAACTAAAGACTGGAAAAATGGATATTAGCGGTTTTCGCACATCCCGATTCAATTACATTGAATTCAATTTGAGTAATTCAAACTTCTGACTCGCGAAAGTAGCAAAAAGTAATTCTGTTAGATACAGAAATTTAAAAATATAAATTATATCCCGGTGGGTATCTTGAAGTGGGTGTCACGTGAAATTTTCCCCTCCCCTGGTGCAGATTTTTTTTCCTTCGGAAAATCAGTCTCCTGATGGACGGAAAATCTAATATTGCTTCATTGCAAACGATCCTTCCTCACTTGTAAGTTGAATTTGAAAAATAGTCGTGCCCGTTACTGTACTCTCCTTGAAGTTTGATCGAGAGAACAACAATTATTGTGATGCTTGAATTCTATAACGCTCTTTAGCGATGTCCGTGTGACGCACTTACACATTTGCAGATCAAGTCTCGTTCTATCAAAAAAGTGACAAAGTTTCATTGAACTGCTGAGCATATGGTGTCACGTTCTTTCTGAAAACCTCCGGAATTTTATTAGGGGGATACACAGTGCCCCAAACATCCACCAATGGGCGTGAAAACCAGTGAGACTTCATGAACTACACCAATAGTACGCCATGCAGCATGAGTCACTCCCATAAGATTATGGGACAAGGTCATTTTAATATCGAGTGACAAACGTGGATAACGCAGTGTCAAATTATTGCAATTATTACTGATAAAGAAGGACTCAAACGCGTGGACATACAGGGTTATTCAAAAGTCATGCATACCACTGGTCATTACGGGGATGGCCATTTGAAATTTTTAGTTGCCCCCCGCCCCCTTCCTCCTGAGGGGTCAAAAACTGGGAAGTACCTAAAAAAGTTTTCCTCTCGATATGAGGAAAAACGTCACAAACCGCGAGTCGATATCTTACTTAGAACTAAAGTTATGGCCAGTGGTGCGTCACTTTTGTATAACCCTGTAGATTATTAACCAAGTTCTTAGCACTTATAGTGTGCTTGCAAAAGTTAGTTACTTCCACAAACTGCAACCTAAAAAAGTACGAATGTTAGTGGTTCTACATATCTTACGAGAAAAACAAACGCTTAAAATGTAGCTATACTATAACTGTCAGCGACAGGATAAAGGAATAGTGATTGGTCCATACACTATTCTGCGGAGTAAACAAGACTGAAAAGCTACAAACAATTTCTTCGTTCAAAAAATGAACTCTAACAGTGCAATGCGAGGGGGGGGGGGGGGTTCTCAC